TCCTGAGCTGTTAGGATTACAGGCATGAGCCATTGTGCTCTGCTCTGGTTGAATTTTTAAACATCCATATAGAATCCATATAAAACATGAAGAATTTGTCTTTCCATTTCAGACTTATTTCATTTAACATGATGAGCTCCAGTTTCATCTATTTTGCACAAAACAATAGGGTGTCATTCTTTTTATGGCTGAATAGTATTCCACGTGCATATATAGAAGCTCTTTAAAATTCATTTATCCATTGATGAGCATCAAGGTTAATCCCATAACTTACTTATTGGGAATAAACATGGGATGCAGATATCCCTGTGATATGCTGATGCAATTTCTTGGATATTTCAGAGCTTTGCAATACCAACTTGCCTATATCACTCCACAGATATAAAATTTTGTCCTCTTCCACTTTCCCCAGAGTACCATGCCTTAGGCATCTGTGATTTAACCTTTCCTAATTTTCCACTAATATCAATGGAAGTTCCTTAAGCAGCACAAATTCCTTGAAGCCTGAAGATATTTCACCCAGAATCTTAATTCTGTCAGGAATATACTTTCTCTACTCTAGCAGGTAGGGCTAAAGGTTAGTAAAGATATAAAAGAATTAAAATTATCATGTGTTATCAGTGGAATGTAAAATGGTACCTCTTTAAAAATAGTATTTGCAATGTTTTGTAATGTTAAACATAAACTTACCATGTCAGCCCACAATCCCACTTTAGTGTACTTACTTTAGTAAAGTGTAAACCAGTGTTCATATGCAAACCTGTATATTCATAGCAGATTTAACTTTTTTGTTTTCTTTTTTTTTCATTTGTTCTAATTATTTATACATGACAGCAGAATGCATTTTGGCACATTGTATACACAAATGCACCACAACTTCTTATTCCTCTGGCTGTACACTCTGTAGAGTCACACCAGTCCTGCAACCAGACATGTACATAGGGTAATAATGTTTGTCTCATTACACCCTCCTTCCCAACCCTAACCCCTTCCCTCCCCCCATTCCCCTCTGCTCAATCCAAAGTTCCTCCATTCTTCCCTAGCCCCCCTTCCCATTTAGGATCATAATCCACACATCAGAGAAAACATTTGGCCTTTGGTTTTGGAGGATTGATTATTTTACTAAGAATGCTATTTTCCTGCTCCATCCATTTATTTGCAAATGCTATCATTTCACCCTTCTTTAAGGCTGACTAATATTCCATTGTGTGTATATACCACATTTTCTTTATCCATTTATGTGTTGAAAGACATCTAGGTTGGTTTCATAATTTAGCTATTGTGAATGGAGCCACTATAAACATTGATGTGGCTACATCACTGTAGTATGCTGATTGTAAGTCCTTTGGGTATAAACAAGAAATGGGATAGCTGGTCAAATGGTAGTTCTATTCCAAGTTTTCTGAGGAATCTCCTTATGGCTTCCTATAGTGGTTGCACCAATTTGCAGTTCCACCAGCAATATATGAGTGTGCCTTTTTCCCCACATCCTCACCAACACTTATTGTTGTTTGTATTCTTGATAGCTGCCATTCTGATGGTGTGAGATGAAATCTTAGAGTATTTTTGATTTGCATTTCTCTAATTTTCAGAGATGTTGAATATTTCTTCATATATTTGTTGATTGATTGTATTCATTTTTCTGTGTAGTGTTAATTATAATTAATAAAAGCTAGCAATAAAAATCTGCCTAGATCTATATAATTCTACTCGACGAGGAAAAGGAACAAACCACCTATAAATGAAACAAATAGATACTCACTTATACATTTTACTAGGGAAAAGAAGCTAGACTCAAGAGGGTGTATTCCATTGTATATTCTATTTATCTGATTTTTTTTTCTCTCTCTCTTGCAAAGGAAAGATCTATATGGACAAAACCAGTAGATTCTAGGAGCTAATGGTGACAGGATGGTTGGATTATGAAAGAATAAAGAAATTTTTTAGACTGATGGGACTGTTCTTTATTTTGAATGTGGTAGTGGGGACATGATCATATACACACATTTGTCCACACTCAGAACTGTACCCTCAAATACAGAATTTTTACTGTACACAAATTATGCCCCAATTAAACCAAAACAAACCCACAGATACATTTGTGTGCTCACTCAATAGGTCAAGCTGGGTGCCACAGGCAGTTTAATTGGGCTTCTTTAAATAAGTGGAGTAATGTCTGGGGCCGCTTTCACAAGGGACCTGTTCCCCGGAGATCTTCATATGTCTCTTGGGTCCCATACATTGGCCTCTAAACTCCCAACACCATCCTTCCTTTTGACATCTTTTTAGTAGAACTAGGAGCAGAGCCACTGTGGTCACTTACTCCCTCTTCTGAATGGGAATTATCGTTAGTACACAGGGTGGCCTTCTCCAAGCAGGATTTTCTGTGAGTCTACAATCATTACAGGGGAAAACATCCCAAGGTAAAAATTATATTGCGTGTGGTTAAAACTGTAACCCACCACGGAGTTGTTTTATCCGTTTTCTTTTATTTGCTATTTACAGACACATTTCTGCGACCTGCCCAGCTACGCTGATGATATCACAAATAAAGAAACCGAGGTTGGAATAAAGTAAGTGACAATTACAAGAGTGCTTTTTTTGACCAGTCCCCTAAAAGAAAGAGCTTTTTCTAAAGGAATTGTATACACTCTTCCCTGGCAGAGGTTCAGATTCCAGAAAGTGTAGGAGTTCCAGCACTTTTATTTAAGGAGCAAAGTAAGCTTTTATTTTTCCATACTTTTATTTTTTTGGTGAGAATTATAATATATGTAAAAGCAATAAGGAACTTGATATTATGAATTACATGAGCCTAGGAAAGGATGTCATGAGCATTTTTTTTCTTTTTTTTTGGGGGGGGAAACAGGCTAAAGTCCCAATAGCAAAATATTTCTCCAAGTAGGAAGTTCAGGGATGCTTATGAACCAGGAGGCGACATCCCTGAAGATGGGAGAGATCGTAAGGCAGATGATGCTGCGACTGCGTAGGCGGTGATTTCATCCTGTGTACTCTCTGCCTTTGTCATTGTGGAGGAAGCAAAGAAGAACAGCTTGAACTGAAACTTCTTTCCACTCCAGAAAGGACCTTGTGAAATTATTTAGAGACGTATACTCCATTTCAAAGGTCTTATTGCATAATCTCACCTGTTTTTTTTTTTTTTTTATCATTACATCTAGAAAAGTTGGTCGAGAAGCTGTTCAGAGTACATCTTGTAAAATCATTCATCCCTGCAGGGGAACTCTGAATCCATTTCATATTCAACAAATGGTTTTAGTAAATAAGTTAACTTTTAAAACTCTGAGCTTTCTTTTCTGTAAATATCGATAGGAGCGTTACCTTTGTTGTTATGACAACTAAGTGAAATTTATATTTGAATCTACAGTTCTCTTATTAGTGTTCATAGACCATAGCATATGCGATGAAGTGTTTTAGGTTATATTATCTTGTATGTTAGAAATCTGTAAACACAAATGCCTGTGGCGGAGAGTGATGCCAAATAAATTTTGCAAAGTAGCCAGAAGGCTGAAGAGAGAAGTTGTTACCAGAGAATAGATGTCATACTAAAGTCTCCAAAATCAAATTTAAAATATATAAACATGGAACCCATGATCCTGTGAATTTTCCATGCTCAACTCCATGATTCAGCTGATGGATGAGAATAATATGGGTGAGAATGGGTTTTAGATAAAGAAATTCAAACTTTATCTGTGAATGGGAAGTAAATTTAAGCAAAAGATAGGCTGAATGCCCTGGTATTCTCCCACAAATGGTTGTTAGAGAGGAAGAAACACTGGAGGGCACAGAAAGGACAGTACACTCAGCAAATGAGGAAAAGCAAATTCAAGAGTGAGCCTTCCAGACTTCAAGTTCAACCACAAGTTGGAAGCTCCAGAGTAAGCTCTCAGCTTTCCCAGGCTAAGATGGAGACCATCCTCCCAGCCCAAGCCTCACTTCACAGGAAATACTCATCAGGACTGTGCTGGATACTCATGTTGTACTCTTTTGTTAAATGTATTATCTAATTTAACTGTTACAGCAATCCCTTTGAGAGGCCTCGTTTTTATTGTTTTTGTCTTATAAATAGAGAAAACAGTGGGCCTGGGTTGTGGCTCAGAGGTAGAGCACTTGCCTAGCATGTGTGAGGCACTGGGTTCCATCCTCAGCACCACCTTAAAAAAAATAAAGGTATTGTGTCCACCTAAAATTAAAAAATAAATATTTTTTTAAAAAAGAGAAAACCAGTATTAAAGAAGTCAGGGACCATGTCTCCTAGATAGGGAGTGGGGTGGAGCTACAATTTAATTTCACGTGCATCTCTTTGCAGAGGCTAAGCCCTACCAGGACCACCAGATCTCTGAAAAATTGCTTGATGATGGCACCTGTCTCTCACAAAGCTGCTGTAACACTCTGTCTTATTTTATATGCACCTCTCAGTTACTCTACTCTTTGGTCTAATGGATGCATGAATAAATATGAATAGAGCTGAATTAAGTCCCATGAAACTTCTTTTAAGCATAGAGTTTTTGGGAATCAGTCTGAGCAAATGGAAGGCTTGGCTTTGCCAGTAGATATGCATGTAAATGAGCACAAACCTTTTGTAGGTTTGTTGAGAAGGTCAACCACATTTAAGCCATGTGAAATGTAAGTGTGCACTATAAAGATGCAAACTCTTAATAGACTCAGGTGATATGATTTGGGAGATGTATTTTTTGCAACTATGTGACTTTAGGCAAATATATCATCTTCCTGGATCTCAGTTTGTTCATTCACACTGGTGTGATTTGGGTCATGTGATCTGCAAGGATACTTTAGATCCAACAATCTATATAGATTATCTGTCCCTTAGTTTTTTTGGTCCCAGTCTTTGCTTTAGATCAGCAAACCACGAAGAAGAAAGAAAAGGATGAAATAACAGAATTTATGTTTGTTTTAGTGCTGTTCCTCTTCCCTTGACCCACTGTTCCTTTCTTCCTCCTTACTACAGAGAATTTTGACTCACCATGCTTAACAACACAGAAGTGAAGGCGTTCATCCTGGAGGGTCTAACCAATGCTCCAGAACTACAGGTCCCCCTCTTTGTCTTGTTTAGCCTCATCTACCTCGTCACTGTTTTGGGAAACCTGGGGATGGTCCTGTTGATTCTCTTGGACACTCACCTCCACACTCTCATGTACTTTTTCCTCAGCAACTTTTCTTTGGTGGACTTTGGTTATTCTTCATCTGTCACGCCCAAAGTGATGGCTGGGTTCCTTGAGGAAGTCAAGGCCATCTCTTACAATGCATGTGCTGTGCAGATGTTCTTCTTCACAGCCTTTGCTTCTCTGGAAAATATCATCTTGGCCTTGACGGCTTACGACCGCTATGTAGCAGTGTGCAAACCCTTACACTACACCACCATCATGACCAAAAGTGTGTGTGTGCATCTGGTCCTGGGCTCCTACCTCTGTGGTTTCCTGAATGCCTCCATCCACACTCTGAACACATTTGGGCACTCCTACTGTCAGTCCAATGTGGTCCACCATTTCTTCTGTGACCTCCCAGCAGTCATGATTCTCTCTTGTTCTGATAAACACATTAGTGAGATGGTTCTGATTGTGGCTTCAAGTGTCAATGTCATCTGTGCTCTTCTGGTTATACTGATTTCCTACCTGCTTATGTTTATTACCGTCTGGAAGATGCACTCGGCTAAAGGTCTGTCTACCTGTGCTTCTCACCTCACTGCAGTCTCCATATTTTACGGGACGGTCATCTTCATGTATTTCCAACCCACCTCCAGTCATTCCATGGACACAGACAAAATGGCGTCCGTTTTCTATGTGATAATCATCCCTATGCTGAACCCTATGGTCTACAGCCTGAGGAACAAGGAGGTGAAAAGTGCGTTCCAGAAGATTTTCCAGAAGGCCACATCATCTTTAGGAATGGGATTTTAATGTTGTAGGATGCATATAACTAATCTCATGTCTCTTGGATCATCTTCATTTATATTTTAAGTACAAATTTGGGTTTAATTCCTAAAGCTATATACTTATCACTTGAAAAATTTATTGTCTAGTAAAAAAGAAAACATATCCAGATATTTTATACCTGAATAAAAATGGGTCAGGGAGAACATAAGAGATTTTGCGTTCTGCTTTTCATAAAACTTATTGATGGCATTTAAAATTTTTTATTACCATGCATTAATTGTATGCATCAATGGGATTCTTTGTGACATTTCAATACATGCATGTAGCACACAGTGACCAAATGCAGCCTCCCTTCATCCATTCCCTCCCCACCTCGTTTCCTCCAGAAATCACTATTTTCACTATCTTGCATCAGGTCAACTTCTGATTTTTTAAAAAAATTTAAATATAAGAAAAAACATGTAGTTCTTGTCTTTCTATATCTGGCTTATTTCACTTGAGATAAATTCTTCCAATTCCATTTATTTTGCTGTAAATGACAGGATTATTTTCTTTACAGCTGAGTAATATTCCATTGCATATATGAAACACATTTTTAATCCATTCACCCATTGATGGAGATCTAGATTGATTTCATATCTTAGTTATGTGAATAGTTATTGTGAATAGTCCAGCAATAAACATGAACATATGGATTTCACTTCAATGGACTGATTTCATTTCCTTTGGATATATACCTCATAATGCTGTTGCTACATAATATGGTAGTTATGTTTTTAACTTTTTGAGGATCCTTATACTGTTTTCTGTAATGGCTATACAAAGTTAACTCCCATCAGTGGTGTCCAGGAGTTCCCTTTTCTCCATGTCCTCTCCAACACTTGTTGTCTTTTTGTCTTCTTGATGGATGGCATTCTAAAAGGTGTGAGGTCCTAACTGTTGTAGTTTTAACTTGCATTTCCCTGATGACTCTTTGTATTGTTTTTGTCTCATCCCAGCATCCGGGTAATGCTGACCTCATAGAATGATTCAGGACATGTTTCTTAAGTGCCTTCTATTCTTTTTGGGGGAAGAATTTAAGAAAAACTGATGTTAATTCTCATTTAAATGTTTTTAGAATTCACCCGTTGAGCCTTCTTATCCTGTGCTTTCACTTATTGAGAGATTATTTATTAATGATTCAATTTCTTCTCTTATTAAATGGCCATTCAGTTTTAGTACTGTTCTTGATTTATTATTTGTAGTTTGTGTATTTCTAAGAATTTCTGTTTTTTAATCTGAGTTTACCCAATTTGCTTCTATACAGTTAGTTTATATTTTATTAAAATCTTTTAAAAAATTTCTATAAGGTTGGTAGTGATATCCTCATTTTTATTTCTTCTTATTATTTTTTTTTGACTTTGTGTATTCTCTTTTTTCTACCATGATTGATCTGTGGAATCATTTTTTGTTGATCTTTTCAAAGAATCAGCTTTTGGTTACTGATTTCTTTAATTTTTTTTAGTTGTTATTGGACTTTTAATTATTTAATTAATTTTTTGTTGTATGCAGTGCTGAGGATCGAACCCAGTGCCTCACACATGCTGGGCAAGCTCTCTACCACTGAGCAACAGCCCCAGCCTCTGATTTCTTTATTGTTAGTCTATTGTCCATTTCACTTACCTTCACTCTAAACTTTTATGATTTTCTTTCTTTTAGCTGTGGATTTACTTTGCATTTCTTTTTTTCTGGTTTCTTAAGTGTAAAGTTATTTTATTGATTTCTTTATTCACTTTTATATAAAAAAATTATAGCCCCAAATTTTCCTAGGAACACTGCTTTTGCAGACTGCCATAAATTTTGGTATGTTATGTTTGCATTTCCTTTATCTTGAATTATTTTCTATTTCATTAAAAATAATTCTTCTTCAACCCATTGGTTGTATAAGAGTTACATATATATATATATAAATTTTCAAAAATGGGAAAGATTTGGCTCCATTTCTTAAAATATTCTTTTTCTTTCTTCTCCCATGTTGAAACTACCATTGTGCATGTGTTAGTATGCGTACAGGTGTTTAACAACATCTGTATTTCAAGACAGGGTAAAAGAGAAATAACTTAGGTTAATGAGGGTACAATAGGTCTCTAATCCAGTGGTGTTGTTGTCTTACAAGAAGAGGATCAGACACCAGAGCTCCACCATGGGAGAGCACAAGAAAGTGTCATCAACAGCCCAGGAAGAAACTTCATCAGGAACAGATTTGGCTTGTTCCTTGATCTTAGAATTACAAATCTTCAGAACTACGCAAAAATAAGTTTCTATTGTTTAAGTTACCTGGTGTGTTGTATTTTAATTCGCATATATGATCTATGTCTCTCACACAGGTTGTCTTGGGAAGGGGAGGACTATTTACTCATGGTCTCTGAAAGATGATAGCTAATCAAATCTTCACCACATGCCCATCAGTATCTGCTGGAACATTCAGCCTCCTTCTCTATGGCAGAGACAATAGGAATATTGTGCCTATGCTTCAGCCCTCCCCAAAATGGCACATGCCAGTTCTTCCACAATCCATTGCCTATAACTAGCACATGTCTCTTTTGAGCTGTAGTGGAATAGGTGCCCAAAGAGAAGCAAATGGGATGTTTGAGCAATATTTTGTGACTCATACTATGGTAACTTTATATAACTAAGAAATAAAATAATAAAACTTAATCTTAATGAAATACTTTCTATGTGCCAAAAACTGCTCTATTTTGTATATATATCGTCTTATAGTCTCCTTGATTGTGTGAAAGTTACATTATATTATTATCTTCTTTTTGCAAATGAGAATATTATGTTTGAAGGGGTTAAGTCACTTAGCTGAATATGAGGACAAGCCATCTGTGTGCATAAAACCAAATTTGCAACCAATAAACTTGCCCAGCTGAGCAAGGTGTGTTAGGTCTCTTTGTAAGTATGATCTAGAGGTGATTATATGGAGAACAGAAAGGATCTGTTCCTGGTATTGGAAAAAGAAAATCCCAGGCCCCAAATCTAGTAATAAAGACAAACAAGGATTCTGAAAATAATTTTTTGCTGAGGATATTTCTTGATACATTTCTGCAAAAGAAGAAGTAAAAATAAAAACTAAATTAATTTAAAATAATCTTAAAATACCAAATGCTGATGGAGATGTGAAGGAATTGGCAATGCTCTGCAAGTGAAAACAAAATGATACAGCATCTTTAGAAAAATGATTTGGGTAGTTTCTTTTCAATTAAATTTGCATTTGCTCTACAACTAAATGCAATTGTTCTCACATTGATTTACCCCAGTGAAATAAAACCTATGCTCATTGGAAGGGAGGTTCTAAGGCTCCCCAAAACACAGAGAAATGAAAAGTATTTTTAAAAAATGGAAATGCTAACTACCTTGATTTGCTCATTACATATTGTATACATTTATCAAATTATCACATTGAACCCACACATATATACAATTATGTGTCAATTTAAAAACTTTAGACATGCATAAAGCTGCAGAAGCTTTATTTATAATCTCCAAACAGTGGAACTGACATAATGTACCTCAAATGAAGAATGGATAAACACTCTGTAACGTCCTTAAAATGAAATGCTATCCTGCAGTAAGAGATTCCACTATTGACAAAGGTAATAATATTGATGATCTTAAATGCATTCTAAGTGAAAAAAGCAAGAACACTTAGGCTAGGTTTCTTCCAAAGGTCAAATTATATGGACAAAAAAAAAAAAAGAAAAAGAAAAAGTTGAGTGGTTTCCAGGAGAAGAATGCAGAAGAAGAGGTTCGTTAAAAAGACTCTTGGGGTTTTGCTTAGGTAAGGGAAGTGTCCTATAATATCTTGGTTGTGGTAGTGGTGACCTCACTATACACATTTGATCAAACTCTTACAATTTTTATTCTAATTATTATTTCTAATATCACATTAACATATAATCACATATTTATGATATTCTAATAGTTAATTATTATTACACTGGGGGTATTATTGTTTGTAAATTATACAATAATCATAAAATATGAAAGTAACAATAAGCAATACAAAAAACATGTATGCATACCCGACCTACCCAGCTTTGTCTAATTGCTTCATGGGAAAATGGGGCGGGGAGCAGTAGGTGCCTTCCTGTAGGATGTCTCCTGAGAGCTTCATGTTTCTATAATTCCCTCCTGACTCCCTTGCATCAACCTGTGAGATCCCAACAGGACCCCATATGACATCATGTGAAGGGAGAAGAGTTATGTGCTGGGCCTCTTTATTTATCTGAATGCTAAGAGTTGTCAGAACCTGTAGGCCTTCTCTAGACTAAGGATTTGCTGGGTCTGCAAGCATGGCTTCAAGATAAAAATTATATTGAATTAATTTAAAATGATAACGCCTTAGCAAGTTGTTTTACAAACCTTCCCCCATTTTCTTTTTCTAGACTTTTTTCTATGTACAAGTGGTAATCTTATTATGTTTATTTTCCAAAGAAGGAGCAATACACCTCTCTGGGCACAGTGAGAATGAATGATAGATCAAGACTTGAATGCAGGGCCCTGGACCTATGTTGGTGTTTCCCCCCTGCATCTTTCTTTATCTTAAAGACCTCCATCTGTGGGAGAAACTTCTCTAACAACATGTGTGCATTATTCCATGGAGGAATTTCTGATCTCAAACTCTCTACTTAGGATTGACTATTCTTTATTTTCCAGCAGTGAGGTAAGCTTTTGTATTCCATATACATGTTGGTGAAAAGTTTTAAAAAACCACTTCATTGAGGTATCATTGGCACATAAATCGCTGAGTCGGTATTTTTAGTGGAAAGCTTAATTCATACAAAAGCAGAGGGACAGCTATACATGTCCAAATCTCCATTAGTAGAGAGGGGAGTGATATTTACGAAATATCACAACTGCTTTCCTCAAGAAGTTGAACCAAAACATTAGATAAATGATGCTCTGATTAAGTTTAGTTTTATTTTATTTGGTATCCATTAGCCTTCCATCAAAGATAAATGGACAAAAATAACAAGTGTACACTGACTGTTCTTTAAGCCTCAGAGGGAAGTAATTGGATTAGCACTATCTGAACCGTAATTTAACTCCTCCCCCCATAATTCATCCTTTTTATTACTAGCACATCTAAACATGATGATATTGCAGTGGCTAGGAGCCTAGATTTTGATCAAGTTGAAACTGTCTCTCAGTCTTCAGTCTGGAACATTTTTCATACTAGCTGTGCAATTGTGTACCATAACACTGACCTTTTAAATCTTGAATTCCAATAGTTAATAATAATACTTATCATATACATTCACATGCACATTCACTCATGTGAAAAGCTCTTAACATTAGTTCTAGAACACAGTGGTCATGTGTGTTAAGATTGGAAAATAATGCTTTCGGGGATGGAGATTATAAACTGTGGTGTGGAAAGACACTCAGGAATAGTAGTCAGCAGAGGATAGATACCTTTTCTAAGTTGACACACTGTTCCCACACAAGAACTTAATCAAATAACTTTACAAATGGTGCTTCCCAGCAAATCATATCTGTAAGCTCAGGGTGAACCACAAACTATGCTTCTTAAATCCTACGTACATGTATTCAACTAATGGATGGTAATTGTAAGAGGAAAATGGTTTAACAAGACTATTTCAAACTAAGCTAAAATATGAATTTCTGGGAAAAATTAGACTTGTAGACTCAACAGAGCATCCAATCACATGCATGGAGAAATGGCAGAGCAAGAATAGTAATAGCAAATTGAAGTGGCCCTGCTGAGGGGGAAGAGGCCAATTGAAGGGGAGGCTACAAGACTTCCAAGTTACCTGCATGCTGCTGTCCACGCCTATCAAACCAACATACAGACCTGATTCCACCCTAATAATATAGTTAGCTCTCATCAGGGTGTACCAAACATACAGAATTGTATTTATTGTTTAAAAAAGGACTATTTTGGCCGGCGCAATGGTGCACGTCTGTACCACTCCAGTGGCTGTGGAGGCTGAGGCAGAAGGATCACGAGTTCAAAGCCAGACTTGACAATGATGAGGGGCTAAGCAACTCAGTGAGACCCTGCCTGTAAATAAAATACAAAATAGGGCTGGGGATGTGGCTCAGTGTTTGAGTACCTCTTAGTTCAATCCCCGATACCCTCCCCCAACAAAAAAAAATATTTAATCTCAACACAATACCTTGAGGGTCGTTCTCATTGATATTTTCATTTTTCAGGTGGAACAAATGAGGTTCAGGGAAGTTGGGATCAGATCAGGGCTGGCTGTATAGTAATGGGGGGTGGTCAGTAAACAGTTGCTGCCTCTGGCCTTCAGAACTGCCCCTGCCCATTGTGCATGCTCCCACTGTAACTCAGTTACCACACTTGAAAACAAACACTGGGTTTGATACTATGAAATGACGAGTAATAGCAAATTGCTTCAAATTCAACTTGATTTGGATTCAGTGAAGACCACTGAATTTAAGAATCACTCTCCTAGGCCCAAAGCGTAGTTTTCTAATTAATACTATGTAAATATGAATGTGTTACTTAATTTTTGTCTCATAATTTAAATAAACATGATGACTAATCAATCTCATAATATTGTTGAGAGGAATCAATAAATATGCAAGTAAATTATCTGCGGAACAGTATCCAGTACATGAACAACACAGAACACAAGCTTTTACTAGAGTACAGAAAACTGAATTTGAAGATATATTCAATCCAATGATTCATCTTGGATAATTTATTGAATATTCTACATATCAGTTGATAAAAGTAAAATTAAAAGATGGGAGCTCATTCATAAAGATCCTTTGGATTTAATAGATTGTATAGATAATTAGTGCAATACCGTTTAATCCTATGCTTTGAGATCTATGGAAATTTGAAGTGTAAATTTATGCTGTAATTAAATAATGCACGTGGTATTTATACATCTCAATTTCCCTAAATCTCTTTTTCAGCTTTTTATTTACTTATTTTTAAAATTCTTACTCTACTACATCACAAATGTGACCCATCTAGAGTAAACATTTGTTAAAATAATCACCCATTAAATATGCAAGGCAGACTATGAATTTTTAAGTTACTTACTGAAGTTTAAGGTGGTCCATTTTTAATTTTAATTTTTTGATTAACACGCAGTAATTGTACATATTTGTGGGGAGTAGTGTGATACTTCAACACATGTATAAAGCATATACTGATCAAATCAGGGTAATGAGTATTTCCATCTCCTTAGCACTTATTTGAAGACTTCAAGCTCCTTCCTTTCAGTTCTTCATAGTCATAAAGCAGGTTATTATGAAATATAGTCCCTAGAGCTTATTACTTTCATTTGACTACACTTTTTGAATTAAATATCCTTTGTGTCTCTGTCCCCTGTTCCTCCTCTCTTCCCAGGCTGCAGTAATCATGGTTCTAGATTTAGTAGATGCTTTTTAGCTCCCACATATGAGTGGTCATGAAGTACCTGACTTTCTGTGTCTGGCTTGTTTCACTTAGCATAATGTCCTCCAGTTCCACCCATTTTGTTGCAAATGACATGAATTTATTTTATATGTATATATATATGGTTTTATATATATCACTTTTTATACTGTTTATCTGCTGGTGGTCTCGTAGGTTGATTTCATATCTGAATGTGTGAATAGTGATGTAGTATACGTGGCAATTCAGGTGTTTCTTTGATAGGCTGATCCCATTTGGATATATGCTCAGAAGTGAGATTGCTGGATCACATGGAAGATCTATTCTTAACTTTTTGAGGAACTGCCATACTGTACTCCATAATGGCTATATGAATTGACATTCTTACCAACAATATTTAAGAGTTCTCTTTGCTTCGCATCCTTGCCAACATGTGTTAATTTTTTTGATAACAGCCATTCTGATTGGGTGACATGATATCTCATTGCTGTTTTAATTTGCAATTTGTCTCTTTTTTTGTATATTCCTCTATTCCCTTATTTCTCATTGGCACAGGATATCTCAGGATTCCCAAATATTTGATGGACAACTGTACAGAAGTGACACAGTTCATCCTCTTAGGACTAACCGATGCCCCAGAACTGCAGGTTCCCCTCTTTATCATCTTCACTCTCATTTACCTCATCAATGTCATCGGGAACCTGGGGATGATCATGTTGATCCTGCTGGACTCTCGTCTCCACATTCCCATGTATTTTTTCCTCAGTAACCTGTCTCTGGTGGACTTTGGCTATTCCTCAGCTGTCACTCCCACAGTCATGGCAGAGTTCCTTACAGAATACAAGACTGTCTCCTACAATGCGTGTGCAACTCAGATGTTCTTTTTCATAGCTTTTGCCACTGTGGAAAATTACCTCTTGGCCTCCATGGCCTATGACCGCTATGTAGCCGTGTGTAAGCCCTTACATTACACCACGACCTTGACACCAAGTGTATGTGCTCGTCTGGCCATAGGATCCTATGTCTGTGGCTTCCTGAATGCCATATTTCACATTTGGGACATATTCAGTCTCTCTTTTGGTAAATCCAATGTGGTCCATCACTTTTTCTGTGATGTTCCAGCAGTCATGGCTCTGTCTTGCTCTGCTGCACACCTTAGTGAAGTTCTTCTGGTTTTCATGTCCAGCTTTAATGTCTTTTTTGCTCTTCTGATTATCTTGATCTCCTATGTATTCATATTTATCACGATCTTGAAGATGCACTCAGCTCAGGGCCACCAAAAGGCTTTGTCCACCTGTGCCTCCCACTTCACTGCAGTCACCATATTTTATGGGACAGTCATCTTCATGTACTTACAACCCAGCTCCAGTCACTCCATGGACACAGACAAAATGGCGTCTGTGTTTTATACTATGGTCATCCCTATGCTGAACCCTATGGTGTACAGTCTGAGGAACAAGGAGGTCAAGAGTGCATTCAGAAAAGTGGTTGAGAAGGTGAAAACTTCTATGCAAGATTGCGATTTTAACATTGTGTGTGCCCAGTAATTTCATTTCTTTGCTCTCAGACCTTCCTCTTTCAGTGAGTCACATTTAAACTCCATAATGTGTAGAAATTCCTGTGGTAATATGCTTGCCTTTTCAGAAGTCTGTTGTCCAGTAAAAAAAAGAAAACATTGTAAAGTATGAATGGGGAAGGCCAAGGGGAATGGTCAAACCTTAGTAATGATATTGGAACTTGCTTATCAAACCTTAGTAATGACATTTGATTTATTGACTTGTTCCATTTATATTTTTCCTACTATATTCCTGTACAATTATACTTGTTGAACAGGGAAACTAACTTATATATGTATATTTTTTTGTGGGCATCTACATATTGGAGTGAAAAATTTGTCAGAGGTAAGTGGAGTAGGGCTAGTTTTTAATAAAAGTTAATAATTGATTGGATGTTACAGTATAAATTTATTTTTTTTCTGAATAAATTTTATTATTAGAAGAATTTTAGATTCACACCAAAGAGAGGGGAAGGTACAGATATTTCCCATGTAGCCTCCTCTGTTATTACTCTTCCCCACCAAAGTTGTATATACCTTTGTTACAAGTGATGAGGCACATCATCACCTCAAGTTCATAGCTGACATTGGGATTCCATGTTGGTATTGATATTCTGTGGGTTTGAAGAAATGTATAATGACATGTCCATTATTGTGGTATCATTCAGAGTATTTTCACTGCCCAAAATATCTTCTGTGCTCTGCCTATTTATTTCATCCTCTCCCCTAACCTCTGGCAACAACTGATGTTTTGGGGTCTAGTTTTGCCTTTTCCAGAATGTCACATAGTTGGGCACATACATAGCTCCCTCCTTCTCTTTTTTTTTTAAATGAGAGTCAAAACACCCTTTACTGCTTACAACAGTAAATGGAATAGAGAAAACCAGAACTCTTGCGTTTGGGGTGGCATTCATAGACTCGGTTGCCAACCTACAAATATGAGGCGTAGCCTTTCACATTGATTTCTTTTACTTAGTAATAACATGCATTTGTTTTCTCCATATCTTTTCATGGCTTAATAGATTTTTTTTTTTTTTTTTTTTTTTTTGGTATTGTATAACATTGCATCGTCTGGATGGACCAAACATTCACCTACTGAAAGATATTTTGGTTGCTTCCAAATTTTGACAATTCTGAATAGAGCTTCTATAAACACCTATTGCTTCACTCATGTTCTTCAACCTCATTGGAAGTTCTATTGATTTTTGTGGTCACTTATACAGTGTAGATCCTCTTCAATGTTCTACCCTGGGAATGCTTTTATGTTTTTATTGAACTTTTAGTTGACATCTTAAAAGTAATATGTATAAATCTAAACTCTTGGTTTCATTCTCCTAATCCAGATTCTGATTGCACTGAGAATGAATCTACTGATAGAGCCTTTGAGAGGTATATAAACTCTGCTGCCACCACTCATCATTTCCTACCAAACATATATTTTTTTATACTGGGGATTGAACAGAGTGCTTGACTTCTGAGTCACATCCCCATTCTTTTAAATATTTTATTTAGAGACAGAGTCTTATTGAGTTGCTTAGGGCCTCCCTAAGTTGCTGAGGCTGACCTTGAATTCACTAACCTCTGGCCTCAGCTTTCTGAACTGCTGGGATTACAGGCATGTGCAATTGCACCTGGCTCCTACCAAACTTTTTGATCCATAGGGTATAGCAGCATATTATTTTAGTTTATTTGTTAAATAGGAAGTCCATTTATTCATAATGCAGGAAACTGTTCATCCTGACCTCTTTTCTTTTTGTGTTCTTCTTTGTCTCATATTGGTTATTAATATACTCAGAAAGCCCAATTTAACTTCTCATATAAAATGATCATCCCTCACATTCATCAGATATACTTTTTCTTTTTAAAGAAATTTTATGGATGCATTATAATTATACACATTAGTGTGATTTTACTTTTGGTTTTGATAAGAACACAATATGAGATCTACTATCTTAAAATTTTTATTTTCATAGTAGAATATTGTTAATTAAGGGTACTCTGCTATGTAGCAATCTCTAGAATTTATTTATGTTGAATAATAGCAACTTTACAGTAATTTTAGAGCAGCTCATCACACCCATAACCCTACTTCCATAACCCCCATTCCATTGCATACCTCAACAGCTACCATCCTATTCTCTTTTTTATGAATACCTTATATAATAGAATCACATAGAATTTGTCCTACTGTGACATTTATGTTGTCACATATAACAGGATTTCCTTCTTATCTAAGGCTGAATTTCATGTATATGTATCATGTATCCTCATGGATTTTTAAAGTCATTAATCCCATGATGAAATTTACATTGTTTCTATCCCTGACTCTTACGGATGATGCTATAATGAACATGGGAGTGCCTATGTCCAAACAAGACCCTAATTTCAAGTCTTTTGGATATATTCCAAAGAGGGGGATTGTTGGATCTTAATGTAATCCTGTTTATAATTTTTTAAATTAATTTTATTACTTCATTGTTTTTTAAAATTTGTTTCTGTTGGAATATTATAACTGTACACAATTTTGTGGTTCACTTTGTTCTACTCAGAAATGCTTATAAAATAATTTGTTCCATTTCAATGCCCAGTACTATTCCCTTTTCTCTCCTTCTCTTTGCCCCAGATTCCTTTCCTCTACTCTATCTGTCTTCCTTATATTAATTTATTTTTTAACTGGTGCACTATGGTTATATGTAATAGTGGGATTCCTTGTTGAATATTCATACATGCACAGAGCATAATTTGGTCAATTTCATTCTGTAGTTCCTCCCTTTCCCATCCTCCCTCTCTTTCTTGATCACTGTCCTCTACTTCACTGTGTTCCTTTTTCATGAGATCTCCATTTTTAATTCCTTTTACATCTTTTTCTTTCTCAAGATTCCACATATAAAAAAAACCCCTTCAATCCTTGACATTTTGCATCTTTTCACATTTAACATAGATGTTCTCCATTTCCATTAATTTACCAAAAAATAAACAATTTTATTCTTATTTATGACTGAGTAAACTTCATTTTGTCTATATATCACATTTTCATTTTCCATTTGTCTATTGAGAAATGCCTAGACTGGTTCTATAACTTAGTTATTGTAAATTGTGTTGCTGTAAACATTGATATCCATGTATCACTGTAGTATGCTGATTTTAATTCTTTTAGATAAATGACAAGGAGTGGGATGGCTGAGTCAAATGTTGGCTCCATTCCTAGTCTTTCCAGGAATCTCTATACTGCTTCCCAAAGTGGGATTGTATAAATTAGCAGTCCCACCAACGATGCAGGATGATAGCCCACCCCACAACATGTTTGCCAATATTTATTATTATTTGTATTATTACTAGTTATTCTGACTAGAGTGAGATGGAATCTCCATGTACTTTTGATTTATATTTTCTTAGTTGTTAAGGATGTTGAACATTTTTCAGTATTTATTGGCCATTTGCATTTCTTCTTTTGAGAAATGTCTGTTTAGTTTATTTGCCGCTTTATTGATTGATTTATTGTGGTTTGGCTTGCAGTTTCCTGATGATTACTGATGCTGAGCTTCTCTTCTTAAACCAACCATCTATCTGTCAGTCTTCTTTGGAGAAATGTCCATTCAAATATTTTGTCCATTTTTAAATTTGGTTATTTGTTTTTATGCTAAGGAGAAGTAGGAGTTCCTTACATATTTTGGTTATCATTATGGTTTGGATATTTAAAGTCCCCCAAAGGATCATATGTTGAAGACTTTGTCCCCAGCCAACAGTACTGTTGGGAGATGATTGAACCTTTAGGACACAAGGCCTTATAGAAGGAAGTTACATCATTGGAGGATGCTCTTCAAAGGGATATTGGTACCCTGCACCCCCCACCCCTTCTCTATCTTTCTCTCTCTTCCCTGATCTTTCTCTCTCTTTGTTTCCTGGTCACCATGAGATGAACAGACTTTATCTGACATGCATTCTTCACCATGAAGTTTTTCCTTATCACAGGCCCACTGACAACAGGGCCAAGTGACTATGTACTGAAACCTCTGAAACCATAAGCTAACAGAATCTTTCTTCCTTAGAAGTTGATCATCACAGGTATTTTGTCACAACTATAGAAATCTGGTTAGCACAGTTATTAATTTCATTTCAGATTCACAGTTTAAAAATGTTTTCTTCCATTCTGAAACAGAATATAAATTTATGTCTAATTTTCATTATTTCTTAAGTTGACTACTGTTCAAAATCTTAATTTTCAATAGAAGCAAAAAGAGTTGACCTTTTAAATAAATGACTGTATTTTAGCACTTTACTGAGAGATATAGAAACATCCATTGATGTAGACAGCTTTTAAACATTTTTTTCCTTAGAGGAGGAAGAGTTCTTGTCTGGAGGTTCTCTCAAGCCAATGGCTGGACATCAGGGAATGATGGAGTCAGTCCAGGAAAGGACAGCAAGGCGGCCACTCTCCCCAATGTCCTTGGAGCAAAACTCTTCAATGTGGCAGGACCAGCCATTTAAATACAGTTCCAAGTTGGTGGTTTACCTTGGTAGATTGGTTACACCCAGTGACAGTCAATGTCCATTGGTTATGTCCAGTGAGGTGATGTGATTGCAACTGGACATGTTCTTTGCATGTTGAGAGCCACAGCCGAAGGGGCCCCAGCAAACTTCCAGCTGCCGGCTGATGATTGGCTCACAGCGGCCCCAGCAACATCTAGCTGATTGGCTCCTCGGCCCCAGCAACATCTAGCTGATTGGCTCCTCTGCGGTGATGCTCATTGGGCTGTTTCCCTGCCCTTTCAGACCACGGAGCTGCTCATTGGGGGACTTTTTTGGCTCCGCCCACGTGACCCAGCCAATCGGCCTCAAGAGCAGGAGGATTTTGGGAGGTGGAGAGAAGCTTGTGGGGGAGAGAGAGGCTTGTGGAAAGCCGGTGGTGGCAGTTGAGGCTCTGAGGGTTTCTCCTGAGAGGCTGTTTTGTTTGGCGTGTGTGGTTCTAAAAATAAAGTTAGTTTCTTTTGACAAGTGGCTCCTGATTGTGCCCAGCCAGACTGCGGCATTTGGTGGCCCGTACGGGGAGCGACTGAGGGTAAGTGAAACTGCTCGCCCCTGAGGGCAGGGCGAGAGGATGGGTAGCCATTTTAAGATTCCTCTTTTATTTTGCTTCACTTTTGTTTTAAGTTGCCTGTCCCTGGAGATGAGTGAGACGGAAGAAAAACCGCTCACATCTGAGGAAAAACTATTTACGTCTGAGGAACAGATAGGGAGAAAGGACGGATGCACATGTCAGGAGGATAGAAAGGCTATAATGACTTTTTGTTGTTCCCTTTTTATTTCATTCTGTCTCGGTTTTGTTTGGCGTCATCTTGTTGGGTTGTATTATAGTAGAAATATGGGATCAGAAATTAGTAAAAAACAAACTGAAAGAGTGTTAAGTAAATTGTTAGAGGAAGGAGGCATCCCAGTAAAATCAAGAGCAGTCAGGGCATACGTTGATACAATACAAAAATGTAGCCCATGGCTTTTTAAGGAGGAGTTGTTAAATATATCACAATGGAACCATCATGGTGAAGATTTAAAAAGAATAGAAAAGAAAAGCCTAGGGACTCTGCCAGTTGGCACATTGCCATTGTGGACATTCGTATCTTGTTTGCTTAGTCCAAAGCCTTCAGTTCAGGCAATGGTAGAGGAAGGAGAAGACATAATGATTCAAGTAAAAGAGAAGGTCTCTCAAGTTAGTCAGACAGAGGAAAAGATTCAAGTAAAAGAGAAGGCCTCTCAAGCTAGTCAGACAGAGAAAGAAAGTGTAAAACAGAAAAAGCCATCAGGGGGAAAGTTACAACAGGAGACTGCTACTAACACCTTTCTATCACCAGAGGGTGTAAGTGTCCAACCAACAGCACCACCTCTACAGGAGACTGCTACTAACACCTTTCTATCACCAGAGGGCATAAGTGTCCAACCAACAGCGCCACCTCCATATTCTGGGAGGCCCCCAACCCCCGCAGTTGATAGTTGGGATCCTGAGACAAGATCTCAAATATTAACATGCCCTGTATTTGAGGCAGGAGGGCAGCGATTTTACCAAGTTTTAAATTTCAAAACAGTGAAGCAGCTAAAAGAGGCTGTAACAACCTATGGTCCTCAAGCACCCTTCACTGTAAGCATGGTCGAATCCATTAACAACTTGAACATGACGCCAGCAGATTGGGCTAATATGTGTAAAGCTGTGCTAAATGGAGGACAATACCTGTTATGGAAGGTTGCCAATGAGGAATTTTGCAAGGAGACGGCTAGGCGAAATGCAGCAGCTGGTTATCCTCAGAGAAATCTAGATATGTTGTTAGGAAAGGGACCTTATGAGGATCAGCAGCAACAAATTGCATATGATCCTGGTGTATATGCACAAATTGCTGCAGATGCAATTAAGGCATGGAAGACTTTACAAGGACATGGAGGTTTACAAGGTCAATTATCTAAGGTAATACAAGGAGCTAATGAACCTTATGCTGAATTTGTAGATAGGCTTATTCAAACAGCTACCAGAGTTTTTGGGAATACAGAACAAGCAATGCCATTACTAAAACACCTGGCTTATGAGCAAGCGAATCGTTGGTGCAGAGATATCATTAGGCCATGGAAACATGAAGATTTAAACACATATATTAAATTATGTAGAGACATTAATGAACAAGAGCAAGTCGTGGCAGCTGCAGTAAAACAGGCTTTAGATGCCAGAGACATTAATGAACAAGGGCAAATTGTGGCAGCTGCAGTAAAACAGGCTTTAGATGCCAGGCCAAGAACATGCTACAATTGTGAACAAACAGGACATTTTAAAAGGAATTGCCCCATTGGAGGAGGGTTTAACAAAACTAGGTATCAAAGGAGTAGAATACCAGGTATTTGCCCACGATGCCGTAGAGGGAGACATTGGGCTAATGAATGCCGTTCTCAAACCACCATAGAGGGTACTCCATTATCAAAAAACGAACAAGGACCAGGCGTTTATCCACGAAATCGTGGAGAAAGGCATCGGGCTCCATTGCCAAAAAATGGACAGGGGGGCCCAATGCTCCGGGGCCCAAAACCACAAATATACGGAGCACTGGAGGAACTCAGCAACCCCATCAGGGTAGTGCCCAGGACACATTGTCCATCAGATCCCTCATCAGACAAACCAGAGGGAGCACAGGGTTGGACATCTGCGCCTCCGCCAGAGCAGTACTAACTCCAGAGATGGGAGTTCAAATCATTCCCACAGGGGTGAAAGGACCTCTTCCCAAAGGAACAGTAGGCTTATTATTGGGACGCAGCTCTTCTACTCTAAAAGGACTTATGAGAAGTCCTGGGGTAATTGATCCCGATTATGAAGGTGAAATAAAAATTATAGCCAGTTCTCCAAAGGGTATATCAGTAATTTCACCAGGAGATAGAATAGCACAGTTACTAATAATACCCAGCCTACATGATAAATTTTCCAGTCGTACTGTAGAAAGAGGTTCCAAGGGATTAGGCTCCACAGGTGTAGATTGGGCTATGCTTTCTTTAAATTTAGATTCTCGCCCCATGCTAAAACTAAATATTCAAGGACATGAATTTAATGGGCTACTGGATACAGGTGCAGACCTTAGCATCATCTCTCGTCAAGAATGGCCAAAACATTGGCCATTACAACAAGCCACTCAAACGCTTCGAGGCCTAGGAGTGGCAACTAATCCCCATAGAAGTGCAATGGTATTAGATTGGAAGGATCCTGAAGGATGTGAAGGAACTATACAGCCATATGTATTGGATCATCTTCCCGTAAATTTATGGGGACGAGATGTCCTAGATCAATTAGGTTTGACATTAACAAATAACATCAACCAAAATGCACCCACTATTATGACTAGACAAGGTTTTAGGAAAGGAAAAAGATTATAAAAACAAGAACAAGGTATAGCAGCACCAATACAAATAGATCAAGGAACAGACAGACATGGGTTGGATTTTCAGAAAGGGCCACTGAGACAATAAAAATTACTTGGAAATCAGAAAGACCAGTATGGGTTCCTCAGTGGCCCCTGACTAAAGAAAAGATACAAGCAGCCCATGACCTGGTCAAACAACAATTAGCGGAAGGACATATACAACCTTCTGTATCTCCCCATAATACTCCCATTTTTGTCATCAAAAAGAAATCTGATAAATGGAGATTATTGCAAGATTTAAGAGCCATTAATAATGAGATGGTTATTATGGGACCTGCTCAATCAGGGATTCCTCAGTTGTCTGCTTTGCCAAAAACCTGGTATGTTTTAGTTATAGATATTAAAGATTGTTTTTTTTCAATTCCAATTCATCCTGAGGATAGTCCACGTTTTGCATTTACTATCCCTGCACTGAATCATGAAGGTCCTGATCAGAGATATGAATGGAAAGTACTCCCTCAAGGGATGGCTAACAGCCCAACTATGTGTCAAATTTATGTTAACAAAGTAATCCAGCCACTTAGAAATCAAAATCCTGAACTACAAATATTTCACTATATGGATGATGTATTATTAGCACACAAAGATAAAAACACATTGCTAGAATGTTATGCCACACTTACAAACTTATTAAAAAATTATAATCTAGAGATAGCAATAGATAAAGTACAATTAAATTTTCCAATTAATTATTTAAGAGTTCTATTATCCTCAACCATGGTCCGTCCACCAAAAATTCAAATACGAGTAGATCAACTCAAATCACTTAATGACTTTCAAAAGTTATTAGGAGACATAAATTGGATAAGGCCTTATTTAGGTATACCAACAGGAGAGTTGGGACCTTTATTTGATATCCTAAAAGGTCCATCAGATCCAAATTCACCCCGAATGTTAATGCCTGAAGCAAGAAAGGCATTAAAAATCATTGAAACATATATGGAAAATATGCATTTGGATAGAATTGATATAAGTTTGCCTTTATTATTTATTGTACTACCAACAAAAAATATTCCTACAGGAGTATTTTGGCAAGAAGGTCCATTATTACGGATACATTTATCTTATTCTCCTAACACTATTCTTACTAGGTATCCTGAGGCTGTAGGACAATTAATACTCAAAGGAATAAAAGCAGCAAAGGGAGTGTTTGGAATTTCTCCCAATAAAATTATTACTCCATATACTATGAATCAAATTGATGAGTTAGCTAATGAGTTAAATACTTGGGCAATAATCATGTGCAAATCTAATTTGATAACCACTTAGCATCTAATCCTTTATTGTCTTTTTGGTCATTGCATCCTGTAATTTTTCCAAAAATGACAAGAAAAAAACCTATCATGAATGCTCCAAATATATTCACTGATGGGTCAAATAATGGTACAGCAGCAGTAGTTACCCCTGATCAAACTTTTGCATTTTTAGTACCCAAACAATCAGCTCAAAAGGTAGAGCTTAATGCAGTTTTACAAGCTTTTGTGATGTTTAAAGATTCTGTATTTAATTTATTTTCTGATAGTCAGTATGTAGTTAATGCTATAGTATCTCTTGAAGATGCTGGTAGGATTTCCCCTTCTTCTACTGTTTTCTCTTTGCTTTCCACTATACAAAGTCTAATCTGGGACAGAAAAGATCCATTCTTTATAGGACATATCAGGGCACATACAGGATTGCCTGCAGCCCTTAGTTTGGGCAATGATTTAGCAGATAAAACTACACATGACATACATATTTTCTCTACACTAGAAGAAGCTATAAATTTTCATAAAAAGTTCCATGTCAATGCTAATACTTTACAAAAGCGTTTTAAAATAACTAAGGAACAAGCTAGACAAATAATAAAACAATGTCAAAATTGTGTGACCTTTTTACCACAAGTTAATCTTGGAGTCAATCCTAGAGGATTGATACCTAACCATATTTGGCAGATGGACGTCACACACTTGCCAGAATTTGGAAAATTAAAATATTTGCATGTTACAGTTGATACTTCTTCTGGATTTTTGATGGGCTCCCTTCATGCCGGAGAAAAAACTAAAGATGTTATAGCTCATTGCTTACAAAATTTTGCCACTGTGGGTGTTCCAAAACAGTTAAAAACAGATAATGCCCCTGGTTATACTTCTACCTCTTTTAAACAATTTTGCTCAACATTTGGCATTACTCATATAACAGGAATCCCATACACTCCACAGGGACAAGGCATAGTTGAAAGAGCTCATCAAACTATTAAAATGTACTTATTAAAGCAAAAAGAAGGAATTGGGAAGGGGTATATATTCCCCAAAGATAAACTTAAAATAACCCTTTTTACTCTAAACTTTTTAAATTTGGATTCATCAGGACTTAGTGCTGTGGAAAGGCATATGTGTCCAAAAAATGTACATAAGCCCAAGGTACTTTGGAAGGATATTCTAACAGGACAATGGAAAGGTCCTGACCCAGTAATTGTCTGGAGTCGGGGGTCGGTTTGTGTGTTTCCACAGGGAGAACAGCAGCCGATTTGGATTCCAGAGAGATTAACCAAGGTCCTGACCCAGTGATTGTCTGGAGTCGGGGGTCTGTTTATGTGTTTCCACAGGGAGAACAGCAGCCGATTTGGATTCCAGAAAGATTAACTAAAGCGATTTCTACAGACCAAAAAGAAGATGATTTGGCTCAAATCCATAACAACTGATATCCAAAACTCCAGTTTGGCTATTCTTACATCTGCAACAGAACCAGGATGCTTTTTTCAACATCTATTTTATTATTGCCCTTTGCCATATCATGAAGTTCTATTTTGTTTTTTGAGCTCATACAGACCTAGGTTAATGTTTTGCTGATCAGTTCTATTTTTTGACCCTAACATTGCAATGGAGATTTCACCTGTAAAAAGTTATAAGGCCTTTACTATAATGTTATGTGTTGTATGTATTATATTATGTGTGCACACTTGTGTTTTGTGTTATATGTTTGAATGTACGTATGTCCATATATCATATATGATGAGCGCTCATGATAAAATGGATCCAAATATTTTTTTTTCACGTGATTTATATGGTTTAATTTAAATTGGGTAAACAACTGTTGAGGATTGTTTTAATATGTAAACAAAAAAGAAGGTTAACAGATCTGTTTGTTTACTTTCACCTTTCCTTTTCATTATATTTAATAATTCTCTTAAAGATAATGTAAATTGTTAAGAAAATTGTTTTCTTTTAGTGCCTTCTGTAATGTTACATAATTTTTTCTTTAGCCATTATTGCCAGAATTCCTATCTTCATCCCAGTGCCGGTGAAGACAATGTAAATTGTTAAGAAAATTGTTTTCTTTTAGTGCCTTCTGTAATGTTACATAATTTTTTCTTTAGCCATTATTGCCAGAATTCCTATCTTCATCCCAGTGCTGGTGAAGTCAAAGATAAAACCAATCTACAGCTTCTACAATAGCCATCACTGAACTGCTTGCAGAACTTGCCTGGACACATTGTGAGCTCACCTGTATGCATTGTGAACTATCTGTTGGTGCAGCGACTTGTGGTAGTGTTGGGGTATTTTTGCTGATGATGTCACCGGTGGTACAATTTTTCAAAGGAGCCCTCAATTGGCTTAATGTCATGGCATTTTGCATCCTCCTCTACTAGTGATGGTCTAAAATTTGGGGGCCAACAGAGGTGAGGCAAAGAACCTCACCCCCCCACTGGTGCAAAGGCCTATCCACAAGTATAGCTGTATGCTGGACTGGTAGTCAGTGACGGGTATGATCCAATTGCAGTGGTACCAACCTAAGACAGGAGGCTGACGCCTAGAGGTCAGTTCATCCGATGACGGGTAAGGACCATATGTTGAATTGGACTGCCTAACAGGCACGGTCCCTAAGCCACATGCTTGTTGTTTAAACAGAGAGGGGGAGATGTTGAGAGCCACAGCCGAAGGGGCCCCAGCAAACTTCCAGCTGCCAGCAAACTTCCAGCTGCCGGCTGATGATTGGCTCACAGCGGCCCCAGCGACATCTAGCTGATTGGCTCCTCGGCCCCAGCAACATCTAGCTGATTGGCTCCTCTGCGGTGATGCTCATTGGGCTGTTTCCCTGCCCTTTCAGACCACGGAGCTGCTCATTGGGGGACTTTTTTGGCTCCGCCCACGTGACCCAGCCAATCGGCCTCAAGAGCAGGAGGATTGTGGGAGGTGGAGAGAAGCTTGTGGGGGAGAGAGAGGCTTGTGGAAAGCCTGTGGTGGCAGTTGAGGCTCTGAGGGTTTTTCCTGAGAGGCTGTTTGGCGTGTGTGGTTCTAAAAATAAAGTTAGTTTCTTTTGACAAGTGGCTCCTGATTGTGCCCAGCCAGACTGCGGCATTTGCACATGCCCATGGAGCTGTGCTCCCTATCAATTTATATATCCTGGAGATTAGTGCTCTGATACGCGTGTAATAAATATATTTTCCCACTCTGTGGGCATTCTCTTCACATTATTGATTGTCTCCAACAATCTTTTTAGTTTGAATCCATCCCATTTATTAACTCTTGATTTTATTTCTTGTGCTTTAAGAAGTCTGGTGCAGGAAGTCAGGATCTAATCTGACGTGAAGAAGATTTGGGCCTACTTTTTCTTCTATTAGGCACAGGTGACTGGCTTAATTCCCAGATTCTTGATCCACTTTGAATTGAGTTCTGTGCATGGTGAGAGATACAGGTTTAATTTCATTCTGTTGCATATTGATTTCCAGTTTTCCCAGCACCATTTGTTGAAGAGGTTATCCTTTCTCCAATGTTTGTTTTTGGTGCCTTTGTCTTTTATGAGATAACCGTATTTATGTGGGTTTGTCTCTGTGTCTTCTATTCTGTACCATTGGTCTACATGTGTATATTGGTGCCAAAACCATGCCAAGTTTGTTACTATTGCTCTGTAGTATAGTTTACGGTCTGGTATTGTGGTGCTTCTTGCTTTACTCTTCTTACTACAGATTTCTTTGGCTATTCTGGGTCTCTTATTTTTCCAAATAAATCCATAATTGATTTTTTGATTTCTATGAGAAATGTTGGGATTTTAATTGGAATTGCATTAAATCTGTTTAATGCTTTTGGTAGTATGGCTATTTTAACAATTGTAGTGATTCTGACCATGGAAATATGAAGGGAAGCATTTCTCTGGTGAGTAAACTCCTAGGGGTAATAGGCACCCTGTTTCCAATGCTTAGAATGCTCTGCAGTTTCTCGTAGGAACTAGTAAAATAGCTAATACATGTGCAATGTCTAGCTGCTGTGGCAATGCCCTGCCTTAGGAGACTTTATGTTAGACTTTTATCAGCCTCCACCTTGATCTCAGGCACGTAACTCCTGGGAATAAAGGAACTTGCTTGCCAGATAACTACAATGTTTCAACAAGCCCTGGTGCTCCTAGACCTGCCCACCTAATGGTAACTTCATACAATTGATTTCTTGAAAGCTACACAAAGTTCCTAACATTGCATAATGTAACTGCAGAATAAGCAAACTTACTGATACAATAAACAATAATGTAGTTATTGTACTAATGACCTAATATAACCTATTGGTGTAAATAAACATGACCTCTGCATCTTGTCTCTGTGTCTCTTTTTATTTTCCTTACAGACAATATTAGTTCTTCCTATCTAAGAACATGGGAGATCTATCTTCTAAGGTCTTCTTCAATTTCCTCCTTTAGTGTCCTGCATTTTTCATTTAAGAGGTGCTTCACTTCTTTTCATGCTTTCTGTATGTCTTTCCATGATTTCCATAGATTGATTCCCAAGTATCTTATTTTTTTTAGGCTATTGTGAATGGGGTAGTTTTTCTAATTTCTCTTTCTGAGGGTTAATCACTGATGTATAGAAATGCATTTCATTTATGGGTATTGATTTTATAGCCTGCTACTTTGCTGAATTAATTTATTAATTCTAGAAGTTTTCTGGTGAATTTTTTTGGATCCTCTAAGTATAGAATCATGTCATTGACAAACAGTGATAGTTTGAGTTCTTCTTTTCTTATTCATATCTCTTTAATTTCTTTCGTCTGTCTAGTTAATAGAGTTTCAAGGACTATGTTGAATAGGAGTGGTGAGAGAGGACATCCTTGTCTTGTTCCAGTGAGGAAATGTTGAGAGCCACAGCCGAAGGGGCCCCAGCAAACTTCCAGCTGCCAGCAAACTTCCAGCTGCCGGCTGATGATTGGCTCACAGCGGCCCCAGCAACATCTAGCTGATTGGCTCCTCGGCCCCAGCGGCATCTGGCTGATTG